TTTGATCGAGGGATGTTCTTAAATTTCCTCTTTTTTTTTTTTTTTTTTCACAACTACATTTTACTAATCCCCAAATATCCATACAAATAACTTGCAACGAATTTATCTCTAAAATTATAAAACAAAAAAAAATTATCGCAACGAAACGACAAATTATTGTTATGCAAATTATTATTATCGATCAATATTATAAAATAACCAAGATCGAAAGTGTAAAGCAAATGTATTGTAAATTACGAAGATCACATTATATTATTATAACTTGGGATTTTTGAACATTTGAAATTGTATTATTAAATTTGATTAAAAATTTTCAATAATTTTTTAAGAATTGTTAAAAATCACCAAGAATTTAATAAGAAAATTCGTTACGAAGATATAAACCGAATAAAGTTTTATCCCTTTTCCGATCGAAATAGAATACATTACTAGCAACTTTTACAGCGATGCTATGTATTAAAACACTATAAGTGAATAAAAGAAAAGAAAAAAAAAAAAAAAAAAAAAGAACAAAAGTATATTATACGTTCACACACCACAGAAATAGAAAATAAGGTCGTAATCAATAATACATTTAAAAGAACATTAGATTGTTATATCTACGTTATATATTTTTACTCTCTTGTAAATAAATATCACAAATCGAATTAAATGTAATACGTCTCTAATGTGAAACGGTAATAATATATCTGGAACATAAATTAAATTAAGCCAACTGTCTATTTCACAATTTTATCGCGTTCAGATCGCAACTATATTACGTATATTTAGTACCTAGCCACGTCACTTTTTTTTTTTCTTTCTTTTTTTTAAATATCAACACTTGCAACTTCCATTGTAAATTGATTTATTTACATTGCTGTAATAACATTTTAAAGCATATTTTTATGTCAGTTTTAACTCACTTACAAGCTCACAATTAATATTATGTTCGTATAACACGTTTTTCTTTAAATTGAAATAAAAAGCTTGCGACTATCGACGTTATTCGATCGTCGTGTATCTACAGTCACTTTGTATCTTTTGTGTCTAGGTACGTGGTGCATTTTCGCATTTGCGATATATGTATATATATATTTATATATATATATATAATAAATATATATATATATATATTTGATCATACGTTTATATTAGAAATAAAAATTTCATCGAAACGTGATACCTATGCGTATCGTTTTTTTTCGCGAAACCTACTGACAATCTCTGTCAAAACGGAATTATCCTTCATTTGCGAGCTAATTTTGGTAAATGCATT